TTGCGGAAGAGTAGAGGGCAGGCTAGCAGAGATTGTTGAGGAAGAGGCGAGGGCAGGCTAGCAGAGATTGTTGAGGAAGAGGAGAGGGCAGGCTAGCAGAGATTGTTGAGGAAGAGGAGAGGGCAGGCTAGCAGAGATTGTTGAGGAAGAGGAGAGGGCAGGCTAGCAGAGATTGTTGAGGAAGAGGAGAGGGCAGGCTAGCAGAGATTGTTGAGGAAGAGGAGAGGGCAGGCTAGCAGAGATTGTTGAGGAAGAGGAGAGGGCAGGCTAGCAGAGATTGTTGAGGAAGAGGAGAGGGCAGGCTAGCAGAGATTGTTGAGGAAGAGGAGAGGGCAGGCTAGCAGAGATTGTTGAGGAAGAGGAGAGGGCAGGCTAGCAGAGACTGTTGAGGAAGAGGAGAGGGCAGGCCAGCAGAGATTGCAGAGGATTTTCCGGCCCCTTTAAACATTTTCTGTGGAAAAACCCCCCGGAAATTGATCCCTGCCATTTGAGTCGACGGTAAATAGAAATCTTTTTTAGATCCAGGAAGGGCTATCGAAACGAACGCTTCACGGGCAGCTTATCACCTCCTCACCGAACTCGTTTTTTGCGGCTTTTCGGTAGCTGGAGGGTCCAGTTTCTGGAAAATGAACCCCGATCGGCACCACTAAACTTTGATGATCTCTTAAAATATCAGGTTGGAACGAAAGTTCTGTCGCCGAGATTTTCGAAGGCTGGCTAAATTCGTAGATAGCTCCATTCTGCACATGCGATATGTCATTTTGTAGCTCTCAACCTGAACCGTTTCGGGAGGATGGTCCTGGGTCCTTAAAATCAAGCACGGCCGAGATACAGGCCCAAGAAGATTTTTCAAAAATTACGAGAAAGTGTTTTTGCAAGTTATCTTTGCATAGAGACATTTGCATGCGATACCTTTAACGCCGATCGATAGCTCTCGAGGAGTAGATATCGTTAGATCTTGAGATCATCAAAATTGGACACTGGATGGCCGAGATATGGACTCTTGAAATTTCGCCTATTTCTTAGAACTTTTCTCGATTTCCCATACGTTTTTTCAAAATCCTCTCCGCTAGTGCAAAAATAAAGCGGTAATTTTCGGCACCGTCAAATGTTTGGAAATGTATGGGAAATCGAGAAAAGTTCTAAGAAATAGGCGAAATTTCAAGAGTCCATATCTCGGCCATCCAGTGTCCAATTTTGATGATCTCAAGATCTAACGATATCTACTCCTCGAGAGCTATCGATCGGCGTTAAAGGTATCGCATGCAAATGTCTCTATGCAGAGATAACTTGCAAAAACACTTTCTCGTAATTTTTGAAAAATCTTCTTGGGCCTGTATCTCGGCCGTGCTTGATTTTAAGGACCCAGGACCATCCTCCCGAAACGGTTCAGGTTGAGAGCTACAAAATGACATATCGCATGTGCAGAATGGAGCTATCTACGAATTTAGCCAGCCTTCCAAAATCTCGGCGACAGAACTTTCGTTCCAACCTGATAATTCAAGGTTTTTTAAGGTTTCTAGGTTTTAGTTTCAAGGTTTGAGGCGCATTTCTGTAGTCCTGTCCGCTTAAATCGTGCTTTTCGTTTTGAGCCATTGCCACTAAAACCATTAAAGCCAACATTTTGACTTCTTCCCGTTTAAAATGTAAGTTACCAGCTTCCGGTCGTTTTAAGGCAAGTTTTCCGGCTTTTAAAATATGCTGTCGCGTGCCAGTCCCTCCAAAACGCTGATTTTGAATTTTCCCGCCTCGTCAGAACGTTTTCTTCGCTTGCCAATGCCTTTAAAACGTTGTTTTTGTAGTTTTTGGACTCTTTAAGTCAGTTGTAAGTCTCTTTAAAACGATGTTTTGTGGCTTTTCGCGGTCTTTATCATACACTATCGCTTGTTAGTCCCTTTAAAACGCGTCTTTTTTTTCCTTGCCGTCGCCTTTAATGCGCATTTTTCCGCTCTTCAATACCATTAAAACGATTTTTAATCCCTGTCCAGCCTCTTTAGAACAATTTCTTAGCTTGCCATGTCTTGATAACCGCGTCTTTTTCGCTTGCATGTACCTTTAAAGCTAATTTTTCAGCTTGACATTCGTTTAAAAATAGATTTTTTCGCTTCTGGGGCTCTTTAAAATATCCTTTCACCTGCCAGTCCCTTTAGAACGCCGCTTTTCCAGACTTATAGTATCCCCTAAAAACTACAGCCCCGTCCCTAAAACCATAGAACAACCGCCCATATTTTGTGTCTTAACACGGATCGCGCGAACACTCGCGCTCCCACCAAGAACACCGCTTTTTCTCTGTTTACAAAGCTTTTGGCGGCTCAGCCCCGGCTACCGACAGGATACTCATCAACATTGTCACACCTCGCCATTCGCAACACACTCATCGTAAATTGTCTCCCCGCCGCTTTTAACTTTCCCACCAACGCAGCTGAAGATCTGTGATCATTGAAGGCAGGCTAGCGGAGACAATTTGACGAATTCTGGAATTCTCAGCCTAAGCCTAAGCCTAAGCTAAGCCCAAGCCTAAAGCTAGACTAAGCCTAAGCTTGAGGTTGAACCCAAGCCTACGCCTAGGAATAAGCTTAAGCGAAGCCTCAGGTTAGCCTAAACCTAAGCCTGAGTCTAAGCCTAAGCTAAGCCTAAGCTTAAGCCCAAGCCTATCCTAAGCCTAGGCATAGGCATAAGCCCAACCAAAGCCTGGCTCTAGGTAAAATCCTAAACCTAAGCCCCAGTATAAGTCTAAGCCTAAGCCTAAGGGAGCCCAAGCCTAAGCCTAACCTAAGCCTAAGCCAAGCCTAAGCCGAAGCCTAAGCCTAAGCCTAACATAAGCCGAAGCCTAAGCCTAAGCCTAACATAAGCCGAAGCCTAAGCCTAAGCCTAACATAAGCCGAAGCCTAAGCCTAAGCCTAAGCTAAGTCAAGACCTAAGCCCACCCCTAAGCCCTAAGCCCTAGGTCTAAGCAAAGCCTAAGCCTAGGTCAAAACCCCAAGCCTACGCGCAAGGCTAAGCAGAAACAAGCAAAAACCGGAAACCCAGAACCAAGCAAGGGAAAATCATTTCTAATTTTTACCAGTTTAAGGCGAAATACCACGAAATATCTTAATTTACTCCGATTCCACCGTAGCTACCAAAACACACGTGGATTCGTTCTATTTTGTGCCCTGCCGGAATTCTGAGTGATCGTGCTGAACCGAGAACGGTTCGAAAAAATTGACAACCCCGCCCTGTCAATCATTCGCATCAATTTCACAGCCGATTTTTTGCTGGGGCCCTTCTTGTCATTTCCATCAGCACGGATCACCTACCGCATACTAGGCAGGCCACGCCCCTTTGGCTCTCTTTCTCTAATTTTCTCTCTCTCTCTCTCACTCTCTCTCTCTCTCTCTCTTTCTCTATCTCTCTCTCTTTCTCTGCGAAATTCGCTAATTATAGGGCCCTGAAAAGAGAGGCGGCTGTATAAAAGCCATGGAGTGAGGGTATTTTTGTATTTCTTCTAGATTTATCGCTTATTTTAAATTGTATTAAAATTATTTCTTACGCCTTTCAGAACCAGGGCCAGCTAGCAGAGATTGTTGAGGAAGCGGAGAGGGCAGGCTAGCAGAGATTGTTGAGGAAGAGGAGAGGGCAGGCTAGCAGAGATTGTTGAGAAAGAGGAGAGGGCAGGCTAGCAGAGATTGTTGAGGAAGAGGAGAGGGCAGACTAGCAGAGATTGTTGAGGAAGAGGAGAGGGCAGGCTAGCAGAGATTGTTGAGGAAGAGGAGAGGGCAGGCTAGCAGAGATTGTTGAGGAAGAGGAGAGGGCAGGCTAGCAGAGATTGTTGAGGAAGAGGAGAGGGCAGGCTAGCAGAGATTGTTGAGGAAGAGGAGAGGGCAGGCTAGCAGAGATTGTTGAGAAGAGGAGAGGGCAGGCTAGCAGAGATTGTTGAAGAAGAGGAGAGGGCAGGCTAGCAGAGATTGTTGAAGAAGAGGAGAGGGCAGGCTAGCAGAGATTTTTGAAGAAGAGGAGTGGGCAGGCTAGCAGAGATTGTTCAGGAAAAGAACGACACTTCTTATTCCTGCGCAGCAAATTCACCGATTTTCCCATATCTCCGAAACACACGAATTTTTGGCAGCTGCCAATTTTTTCAGCTCCACTGTGCTTTTATCTCTTATCAATCCGCGAGACCAGGTTTTTTCGGCAGCGCGGCTTCTCGCACACTTTTTTTGCCACTTTTTTTGATAGTTAAATACCTTTTAATAGGTGGCCCAGGGTTCTGAACCTGTCAAACCTAGCGATCCCAGAATCCAGGGTGGATTTTGGACTCTAAAAATCGATTTTTCAAGCTGTTATTTATTTCCGAGAACGAGCTCGGCTGTAACAATCAAACAAGAAGCATCCTTGCTCCTTTTTTACCAATTATACAAAGGTCGAGCATGGGTCTATTGAATCAGATCACTTTTTGCGTAGGCAGCCATTTTTGGAAACATGATTTTTTTGAAAAGTGTTGTCATGAATTATCGTAGACGTTGAGTACTGCTTTTAAACTTGTTAAATTTTTGTTTCGGTTTCAGAATTATATTCATTTTAGGGTTGTAACGTTAAAATTCAAAGAATTTTAATTCTTAATTTAAGTTGATTAATTAATTAGAATTCGCCTTGAAGAGTGTGCGCACCGAAACAATCGACTTTTTCCCGGATACTGCCATTTTTGAAACATGATGATTTTGACCAATTTCTCGTCGTTAAGGCGTCAAACTTTTGAACTTGTCAAATTTCGGACATTTTTTAAACCTTTTAACATTAACATTCAAAGAATTAATTCCCCCCAATAGACAACAGCCGATTGGAACAGATAACTTTTTGCGAAAGCAGCCATTTTTAGAAACATGATTTTTCGGAACAAATGTTCATTTTTGAACTTTGGTAGGCGTCAAATTTTCAGCAGTTTTCACTTTCCAAAGTTTTTATGTTTCCGAATTACATTTTTTTAAAGTGTAATTTTGAAACATCCAACCACCATTTCAGCGATGGAGCGCCAGATGAAGGTATGCGTCGTGGGAGCCGGAGGTTCCGGACTGCCCTGCATTCAGTAGGTTTTTTAGATAAAAATTGCGTGAAGCTGGCTTCTGAATTGCGATTCAACGATTCAAAAATATCGAAAGAACTAATAGTAATAACAAGAAAAATAATAAAGGTAAATCTTCGGATTTTTACCGAAAAAAAACAAAGTTTCAACAGTCTTTGGGAGCCGAAAAAGTTTTGTTTGGCATAATGGTGCGAGCAGATCAGTACGATAATTGCATAGCCTACCGTACCTTTTCAATTCCGTGCCAATAGCTTTTCAATTCCTTATCTGTCCCTTTAATCAAAGGATAGAATTTAAGAATTCTGATGAAGTCAAGGGGTCTATCGAAGACGAATTAAGCCGAAAAAAGTTTAATGGTGTCGTAAAATTTTTGAAACATTGGCTTTCTGGACAGATTAAGAGAAGCTCAAATATTCAGAAAATATTGCTCTGTGATTTTTCAAAGCAATTTTCGCACAGCTATTTATATGTACATTTTTTATGACCAAATTCCAAGAAAATTAAGCTTCTTAAGTTGGGCGAAGATCTACGGCTTCGACGTCACGTGCTTCGAGGCGTCCGAGGATATTGGCGGGCTGTGGAGGTACAAGGACCACTCGACGAATGGTAAGATTTTTAGGCAAAGCAAAGCCTACGCCACGCTTAAGTCAAGCCTAAGCTAAGCCAAGCTTAAGCCAAGCCTAAGCCGAAGCCCGCTAAGCCGCCTAAGCTCGTAAGCCGAAGCTTAAGCCAAGCCTAAGCCTGTATAAGTGAAGCCTAAGCCGAAGCTTAAGCCAATCCTAAGCCTAGTAAGCTAAGATAAGTAGTCGCTAACCAGAATGCGGATTAAATACTACTTCATGCCGCAATCGTCATTTTTCGATGAAACAAAACTTTCAAATTTCGCGATGAAGAATCAATCGATTTTCCACAAGGATCTGGCTAATTAAGTTAGCTATATTTTATATCCTAATACATTCCATTTAATTCTATATATATTTTCCAGAATCCTCGGTGATGAAGGGCACCGTCATCAACACGAGCAAGGAGATGACCGCCTACTCGGATTATCCCCCCGCGGCGGTGGGTTTTAAAGGGACGCACAAGGGATACCTATGGCTTTTGCTGGTTATGGATGCATTAATAATTTTTAAATAAATTAGTATTTTAAAACTTTAAATGAAATTGTAAAGTGTTTAATATCTAATTTCTGATTTTTGCCGTGGCGCGTGCGCGTTGCGCGCCGCTGCGCGGTTGAATTTTTAGAAAATTGAGAGCTAAGAAAAAATTTTAAAGGTGTAAAGGGGTGAAAATTGGCATCGCGGAACCACATACCGATTACCATAATTTTTATTTTTTGTTTTTGAAGATTATATGAAACACGTTTTTTGATAAACGATTTTTTTAGTAATTTTGTTGCTTGGTTAGATTTTAATGGTTTTTTGGATGTTTTTACGCGCTATAAATTAAAAATATGATTTTTCTTAAAATAGATTAATTCCAGGACATCCCCAACTACATGCACAACTCGAAGCTGATGCAGTACTTCCGCGACTACGCCCGCGACTTCCACCTGAACCCTCATATTAAGCTGAAGCACAAGGTATCTAATTTCTCATTTTCTAAATTTTTAAAGTTAGTTCTGTTTTAAATCAATTGATCTCAATCAGATGCCGCTAACCAAGATTATCTTAAAAAATTACAAACGCAAATAATCTAACTTTTTCCTAAAGCGTAGCAAAATTAAATTTTAGTTTTTTGTGCGAATTTTTCAAGGCAGGTTAACAGAGATCTTGAGGAATTCGTGGATAAAAACTATATTACATTAATTTTTCAGGTGCTCAACATAGAGCGTACCGCGGATTATAGCAAGACTGGACAATGGAAGGTTACGTACGAAAACCAGTAAGTTATTTCGTGATTCAGATGTGGAGAGAGAGAGAGAGAGCGAGAGAGAAGGTGAGAGAGAGAGAGAGAGAGAGAGAAGGGAGCACGCTAAAAATACTCAAATTCAGATTCGAAGCTCGGCACGAAGAGATATTCGATGGAGTATTGCTATGCACCGGTCATCATGCTGACAACAACATGCCAAAGTAGGAATTATCGCAAAACTTAAAAATTTGGTTTTCAAAAAAAATGTTTCGGAAAATTGCCTACATGCAGATTGTCAGGGCAAAGCGAATCTGGCTTTCGACCAGTCCGGAATTTATCCGTAATAAATCTTCTAGAAAAAAAGAATTGTAGAATATTCATATTTATAGTTGCATTCAAACTATGTCGATTTTAGATGGGAAGGGATGGAGACGTTTCCCGGCAAGATTCTGCACAGCCACGACTATAAGAGCCCGGATGGTAATGTTTCCAAATGTGCTCTCTCTCTTTCTCTCTTGCTCTCTCTTTCTCTCTCTCTTTCTCTCTCTCTCTCTCTCTCTCTCTCTCTATCTGTCTATCTCTATCTTTAATTAAATTTAATTCAGGCTATGGCGACAAAACGGCCGTCGTAATTGGTGTGGGCAACTCGGGCGTCGACGTCGCCTGCGAGCTGGGCAGGGTGGCGAAACAGGTTTAATTTAATTAAGAATCTTAGCTATAATATAATATAAGATAATTAAATTTATAACACCAACAAACAGTCATAAATGAAAACAAAAACAAATGAAATTGAAAAATCAATTTGAAATTAAAGGCGGGATTTGGCCGACCTTGGATTGGAACGTCAAGGGCACCTTTTGCCATGGTAGCCGTTGAAACTTTTCGTTTTGAAAAACATTTTTCGGGTTTCGTACTTTTCTATACCTTTTGAAGGTTAAGATATTTTTATTTTATTGCAATAAAATTACGCTTTTTTCCAACAAACCCGGATTTAAAATTAATTTTCAAAATTCGTTTTTGTAGAGAAAAACCCGGGCTTTTTCCAGACGTATCTGGTCAGTCGCCGAGGAGCCTGGATTTTCAGCCGGATGAAGGGAAATGACAAGTGCTTCGACATGGAGCTGAATAATCGGTGAGCGAATTTTACGGTATTTTCTGAAAAATGTTTCAAAAATTTTGCACTAAAAATATCTAAGTTTGGATTTAGTCGTCGATCTCAGGTGTCCCTAAATCCGTGTTGTAAAATTTATATTATTTTAATGCACTAGTCTCTTCGATTCTACAGTAATCATCTTCGTCTGATTCTTCAAAATTCGGCTCCATCGCCGGCTTTATATTTTCCTTATTTTCCGAAGAATGTTTCAAAACATTTTCCAGTCAAAATGGCGCAGTGTACGCCTAATGATTCTGAGTGACGTGCAAAAATTCATCTTATAATGTTTTTTTCGTTTAGTGCACTTAATATTATTATTTCTATCGTTTCTTCTTTATCAAAAAGGCCGCTGAGCCATCGGTATTTCTGATTTTTCTATGTTTTCTGAAGAATGTTTCAAAAATTTTCCATGAAAAGCAATTCGTTGAACGCCTAGTGATATATGCCCAGCCGCACCAACTTCTTCTACAAATTTTAGGTTATTTTGGTGCATTTAATACTTTCAATTCTACCGTTTTCCATTGCGTCAACATTCCGCTCAGCCATTATTGTGCTATTTTTTCTGATGTTTCTGATGTTTCAAAAATTCTCCAGTAAAACTAGCTCACTTAAAATTTAATGCACACTCGTCAGGGTTTGACTTTGAAATGTGGTTTTATTTTAGTGCACTTATACTTTTATTTCTATCTTAATTTTTTAGCTTCATCGCGCTGAAATTCCTGAAGGTGGTCCCGATGCGAATCCTGGAAAAGATGGTCGAGCACGACGTCGACAGCCGCTTTGATCACGAGAAATTCGGGCTCAAGCCGAAACATCCGATTTTTAGGTTTATAACTTAAAAAACACTAAGGCTTTATTAAACTGGAGGCATTATATGAATCTTTGAGTTTATCGGAAAGTCAACTTTTCAAATATCGATTGAAGGGAAAAATAATTAAAGACTTCCAAAATACGAAAAATTGCTGATTTGATGAAACATATTTTCAAAATCACCAAAAAAGGCTATAATCTAAAAAATATAAAAACAATATCTTTATGACCTGCTGGAAATCAGAAATGATTAAAGCACCATCAAAATACACTCCATATTATTAAAAAAACAGGTATTTGGGTAACTTCAGTTTTAAAAAAATTCCGCCCCCGCTAATAGTTCAGTATCGAATTTTTGTATTAGCTAATTTTTTTTCTTACCATCTGAAATTGCTTTAAATCAATTTCTGAAAAATTCTTAGCACCAGGAAAAAGACAGAGAACAAAAAATTTTCTTGAAACCTGTTTTTGCAGATATAGTTTGTAGAAAAACCTAAATTTTTTGTCATTACCTATCTACCACTTTTTTAATTGAAGTGTTATATAAAAATATTACATTTAGCATCTGATCTCACCATTGTTAATTACCAAAATATATATTAAAAACGGTAGAAAATATTAGAGGCAACTACCGGTAAAATGTTTCAAAAATTTTCACCGTTATGAAAATATTGCTGGTTGCTATTAGAGCCTTTTTTCGAGACGTAAAAAGTCACGAATTATAGGGAAATTTCAGCGCACACCCAACCCTATCCGACGAGCTGCCGAACCGTGTGATGTCCGGAACAGTTAAGGTATCAGAGTATATATATAAATTTCTAATGTCCGTGCGCCCGTCCGCCCGCCCGCCCGCCCGGTCGGACCGACCGGATCGCTGCGGGACCCCAGGACCGGTTCGGACGGGTCCGGGAGCCGGGGCGTTTCGGGATTTCGGGACTAAACTACTAAACTAAAAAAAACTACCCAAAATTTCAGGTGAAACCCGGGATCAAGAAATTTCAAGGCAGCACCCTGTTTTTCGAGGACGGTACCGTGGCGGAAGACGTGGACGAGGTATGGAGGCTAAGCCTAAGCCTAAACCTAAGCTAAGCCTGAGCTAAGCCTAAGCTAAGCCTAAGCTAAGCCTAAGCTAAGCCTAAGCTAAGCCTAAGCTAAGCCTAAGCTAAGCCTAAGCTAAGCCTAAGCCTAGTCCGAACGTCAAGCCTTTAGCTTGATCCATTTCGACAAATTTTCAGACTTTGATTGTATCGGTAGTATGCGCAAGTCGCCTTCGCAGAACGGAGCATTTGTCTGCAACATCTTTTTTGGCCAAAATTTCCAAAACAAATTTTTTTTAATCCCCAGTCTAAGCAGTAATTAAGAGATTTCGATAAAATAGCTATACTTTCTTGTAAAAAATTTGTTTTGGGTATAGCCTGTTCCATAAGATACGTATATCAATTTAACAAGCAGGAGGTAATTCGCCATTCACTCATTTGTTCACTTATTTGTTCACTGAAATCCATTCCGCGCATTGAAAGCATAATTTTTTTGAAACATTTTACCAGTAGTCCCGAATAAGTTTAGTAGTTTAGGCACGTTTCAATTCAGCCATTGCCTTTGTTTTTAGCCACTTGGCTCTTTAAATATTTCAGCCATTTTAGGTAATTTGCTGCACCGGCTACTCGTTCCGATTCCCGTTGCTAGAAAAGGGGAATTTGGTTCCGATTGATAGTAAGTCACCATTGAATTTCCTGGAATTTCGAACAAGTCGGAAAATTGAGATTCTATAGATTCTATTCTATAGATGTTTCATTAACAATTTTCAAAAGTCACCAGTTTTTAATAACCTTAGAAGTTTTTCTAAGATTTTAACAAGCATAATCATTTCCAGACAACAATCACGGGGGAATCTACAAGCTGATGTTCCCGCTACAGACGGCCGACAAAAATACCCTGTGCTTAATCGGCTTGTGCCAGGTAAAATGGTGTTTCTCGTACTTGTGGGAAGCTAGCAGAGATTGTTGAGGAAGAGGAGAGGGCAGGCTAGCAGAGATTGTTGAGGAAGAGGAGAGGGCAGGCTAGCAGAGATTGTTGAGGAAGAGGAGAGGGCAGGCTAGCAGAGATTGTTGAGGAAGAGGAGAGGGCAGGCTAGCAGAGATTGTTGAGGAAGAGGAGAGGGCAGGCTAGAAAAGATTTTTGAGGAAGAAGAGAGGGCAGGCTAGCAGAGATTCTTGTTTAACGGGCCAGGTAACTCAAGGCTCTTTTTCAGCCGTGGGGCAGCATTATGCCACTTTCCGAAATGCAGGCGCGCGTATTCTTCGCCCAGCTCCGCGGTGATGTCAAGCTCCCATCAAGGGTACGGTAATCTGGTAATTCCTAATTTTAAAGGGTTAAAAAGACTAAAAGAACTTTCCAACTGTTTTGTTAAAATTTTGATGTTTCGAAAAAAAATGAATTTTGCTTGAAGTTTTGTGGAGTCAATGGGGTACCCCGGAAGAGGCGGAGCGGAAAATAAAAATATTAATTTCTTTTTACCTACTTTTACTTACTATGATGTATCAATGTTTTTAATATTATCAGGAACTCCTCGAGCAGGACGCGGTGATGCAAAAAGCGGCAATGGCCAAGCGCTACGTGAACAGCCCTAGGCATACGCTACAGGTGGGTACTGTAGCATAGCGTAGTTGCCCGATTTTTCGACCAATTGAAATATTGAACTATTTAAAAATAAGGCTTTAGATTTTGATGCTAAAATATCTCTCTTATTCTCCATTAGATTAAAAAAAACACTATCCGTTATTAGGTGGACTTCGTACCGTATATGGAGGGCCTGGCCGAGCTGATCGACTGCCAGCCGAAACCCTGGGATTTCGCCACCACGGATCCGAGGCTTTTCAAGGAGGTTTGTCCAAGCCTAAGCCCAAGCCTAAGACTAAGCCAAAGCTAGGCCTAAGCCACGCTTAAGCCGAAACCTTTCAGGGGACATTTACATAAAAAAAATCTACAGTATCCGATTCTCAGGTGTTTTTCGGGCCCAACGTCGCATACGTCTATCGACTTTCCGGGCCCTACCCTTGGCCCGGGGCACGCCAGGCCATTTTGGACGTTCGCCATCGTGTTGACCAGGTAATAGAGTATCCAAATCCCCGGGGCAGGCTAGCATAGATAATTTGAGAAATTCCGGGCCCGGGTAGGCTAGCAGAATATTTGAGGAATTGTGGCCCCAGGGCAGGCTAGCAGAGACAATTTGAGGAATTCCGGGCCCGGGTAGGCTAGCAGAGACAAATTGAGGAATTGTGGCCCCAGGGCAGGCTAGCAGAGACAATTTGAGGAATTCCGGGCCCGGGTAGGCTAGCAGAGACAAATTGAGGAATTGTGGCCCCAGGGCAGGCTAGCCGAGACAATTTGAGGAATTCCGGGCCCGGGTAGGCTAGCAGAGACAAATTGAGGAATTGTGGCCCCAGGGCAGGCTAGCAGAGACAATTTGAGGAATTCCGGGCCCGGGTAGGCTAGCAGAGAATTTGAGGAATTGTGGCCCCGGGGCAGGCTAGCAGAGACTATTTGAGGAATTGTGGCCCCGGGGCAGGCTAGCAGAGACAATTTGAGGAATCGTGGCCCCGGGGCAGGCTAGCAGAGACAATTTCCCGCTAAAAATCCTCCTAATTCCAGGGTATCACCGCCGGACGGCCGCTGCGCAAGAAATCGCTTCTAGAAGAGATCTTCAACAATTGGGTGCTCGTCTTCGGCCTCCTCTTCTTCGTCTACTACTTTTTCTTTTGAAACCGAAAGAAAAAGCAAACAAAACAATACAGATTTCGCGCTGAAATCGTCTTCCCAAATTGCAACCCGCTTGCTTGCTATAGATTTCTAAAACAATGATTAAAACGAATAAAGATTTCTATTAATTTTTCAACGATCAAAACCAATTAATAAGATCAAGGAACACGTCTAGGTCTGCAAAAATTTCGAAACATATGAACCAAATCGATAAAATTTTAAGACATAAAATTGTCAAAAATTTATTCCGAGGAAGGAAAGCTCACTCTCTGCACTAATAGAGGGGCGGATCAAAATCGATGCGGGGTAGTAGGGGGATAAATAGCACAGGGATTACCCGAAAACCAAGAAAAAGTACAAGACACGAATAACGACGACGCACTACACCTATTGACAACGAGAAGAGGCAATTTACAAAATCAGGCTCAGGCTTTCTAGGCTCGGCTTGATGCGGCCAGCTTCGCTTCGAGCTTCTCGAGGATCTGGAAAATGGAACATAGAAAATAATACAAAAACAAAAAGCAAAAAGCGATGCACCCGCCGGGATCGAACCCGGCTCGTTGGCGAAAGACTTTGAAACCGGTTGTTACAGTTTTGAAGCCGTTTTTTCGATAGAAATAAGGTGCTTTTAGTCAGCATTTCAGCTTTAATCAAAAAGCAAAATCAGATTTTAGGGAAACGGTCAGCATTGTTGCGCAAAATCCGCTGCTCAAAACAAAATCCCGATTTATTGGCGCAAGTCGAAAATAACCTCAAAAAAGCCATTCGAAAGACAAAACGTTCTGCAGCTGACGGGATCGAACCCGGGCCGTCCGCTCCGTATTTTAAACCCTAACCAAGTAGCCAGCCACCTTTTTTTGAAATAGCGTTAAAATTAAAAATTAGAGGTCGAAACTCACATTATTGGCGCAAACGGGGAGCCGCGTGCCCGGGCCAAAGATCAGCGCCACGCCGGCCTTGTGCAGCGCGTCGTAATCTTGGGGCGGGATGACGCCGCCGGCGACAACGAGGATGTCCCTGAAAAAATAGGGTTAAAATTAAGAAATCTATTTCAAAAATAAAATAAAACTAAAACGTACTCCCTGCCGAGCTTCTTCAGCTCGTCGACCAGCTGCGGCACGAGCGTCAAGTGGCCGGCGGCAAGTGACGAGGCGCCGATGACGTGCACGTCGGCGTCGACGGCCTGAAAAATAAAATGGATAAATAAATAAATCAAAATCAACAAAACCCCCTAAAACAATGAACATTCCAGACCTGTTGTGCGGCTTCTGCTGGTGTTTGGAAAAGCGGGCCCACGTCGACGTCGAAGCCTAAAAAAGAAAAACTAGGCGAGGCTGAATATTTCTTAAAGTTAAAATTGTCCACAGACTGTATTCGTCAATATTTTAATAATAATTCAACTACATTTAGCTTTATTTAAAGTACAAAACCAAACTGAAATATTAAGCCAATTAAAGCCAAGAATCTTTCAAAAAATGTTAAATTGGGCCATAAAATTTGCAAATTTCCGTCGAAAATGGATCATTTTCATAAAAATTATTAAAAAAGGCTAATTTCTTACGTTCAAGAGTAGCAAAAAAGCATATAAAAATGCCTCTATCTCCATCAAGAAATTCGAAACTCACCGAGGTCGGCGAATCCGGTGGCGATGACCTTGGCGCCGCGGTCGTGCCCGTCCTGGCCCATCTTGGCCACCATGATCCGCGGTTGACGGCCCTCTTTTTGGGCGTATTGCGTGACGCGTTCGAGCACCTAAAAAGTTTTATGCAAACTTTCATCGAGCTTACCCCGTTGATCTCGCTGGTCTCGCCAAATTCGTTCTTGTACGCGCCGGAGACGAGCCGGTTGACGGCAGTGTGTCTGGAAAATGAAAATGAAAAATAAATTAAATTAAGCCAAATAAAATAGCAAAAACTGACCGGTTGAACACCTTCTCCATCGCGTCCGAAATCTCGCCCACCGTGCAGCGCGCCTTCGCCGCCGCCACGGCCGCCTCGAGCAGGTTGCCCTTGCCGCCGGAAAACTAAAAAATTTTTAATTATCAGCATTAACAATCAAAAAATAATAATTGCTTTAAAATATGAATAATAAACAATGCTTAAAATATAAAATTACCTCCTCAATCTGCTTCAAAGCCCTTTCGGCGGCCGCCTTGTCCCTGGTGGCGCGGATGTGCTGAATTTTGGCGATCTGCGACTCGCGCACCTTCTTGTTGTCGATTTGCAGCACTTCGATCGGGGATTCCTATCAAGAACGCGAAAATTAAGTACGAAAATGAATTATCACCTTCTCCAGCCGGTACTTGTTGACGCCGACGATCACGTCCTTTCCGGCGTCGATGCGGGCCTGTTTTCGGGCAGCGGCCTGGAATGGAAAAAGTCAAATACTTTCAAAAATTATAGCGCCGTTATTAATAGAAAATATTCGAATGATGTCTTGAATAAAACTAGAAAAACTATCTGAAAACATTCAAAAAGTCGAAATTTTGGTCAAAGGACAGCCATTTTTGGCCGAAAAATCTATATTTTTGATTTATTACTAGATATTTTTGCGGTTTAGGAATAGTAAAAAACAGCTTAGATACAAATTCCACTATTCACATTTCAAAAACTGGGTGATAAGAAAAAGATTTGTCCGTCCCCCCCCCCCCGATAATGAAACAGAACCTAAAATTAAAATCTCACCTCCTCGATGCGCAGCTTCGTCATGCCGCTGGCCACTGCCTTGGCCATCCCGCCCAGCTCGTCGATCTCCTTGATAATCTACAAAAAAACGCTGTTGCTAATTTTCGCGTTTCCTTCCGACCTTCAGCGCGGCCTCGTACATCTCGTCGGTCAGCGACTCCATCATGTAAGAGCCGCCCCAGGGATCTGCTACCTAAAATGCGGAAACCATTGGAAAATTACCTTTTCTATACCTTACAAATGCCGCTCTCTTCCTGGATGATGATTTGTGTGTTGCGCGCGATTCGGGCGGAGAACGGGGTGGGCAAGCCGAGCGCCTGGAAACAATAAAGCTAAAAGCCCGGCAACGAACCTCGTCAAATGAATTGGTGTGCAGCGACTGTGTGCCGCCGAACACGGAAGCCATGGCTTCGATGCACGTGCGGATGATGTTGTTGTAGGGGTCCTAAAGCATAAAATTCAAATAAGATGCCGTCACCGAAAATTTTTTTTTCTTAGGATCCAATTTTTTTAATAAAACCTACAAATTTTTTTTGGAAAAAAAGCGATTTTTCGACCAAAACCGAGTTTTTTTTGACCAAAATATCGACTTTTTGAAAGTTTTTAGCTAGCTTTTCTAGTTGAAATATAGTTGTATTTTATTAAAAAATATAAATTCAGTAAAATATAGGTCAAAACGTTATTTAACACCCATTTTCTATGACGAGCAAATATACAATTTTTAATAGCGGATTTCGACTCTAAAATAACGCACCTGCTCGGTCAGCGACCACCCAGAGGTCTGCGAGTGCGTGCGCAGCATCATCGACTTGGCGTCCTTCGGGGAGAAGCGCTCCTGAAAAAGACGAAGGTTCCTGAAAAGGTGTGCCAGCACCAACCTTGACGAGGTGCGCCCAAAGCCGACGCGCCGCGCGCATCTTGGCGATCTCCTAAAAGCAACGCAAGATCAGAAAAAACAATTGTTCTACCATATAGAAATTCATCGAAATGCCCCAGAAGAAGGAGAGTCGCGGGGCGAACTTGTCAATCTCCAGCCCGGCCTTCAGCCCCGTCGCGCAGTACTGAAAATTAGAAACATTAAGCCAACAATTAAAATAAACTACCTCTAGCCCGTCGGCAATTGTGAAGGCCATTTCGAGGACGGCGTCGGCTCCGGCTTCCTAAAAACGATCGTATCTTCCAAGAAGTTGCTTTTAGCAAATAATAGGTTTGGAATACGCTACAGCTAATTGGATAGAGTTTAAACCTCTGAAAAAGTCCCATTTTTCGAAAAACAGCTGAGCGAAAATGACCTTCGAAAAATCGCTTTGAAATGGCCGTTTTTCCAATTTTTGAGCTTGGCTTAAAAAAATTAAACTTTCATAGCGTTTTTCTCACTAGGAAACATCGTTATAGCTTAGCGGTCTTTGAAAGATGGGATTTGTGCAGAATCTCAAACTTCGGATTAGCTATATTACACCAGAAATTAATTAACGTCTAAAAAACGGCTCGTTTTTCGGGGGAAACCAATGAGAGCTTTACAAAACTGTTCTAGAACTTTAAAACTCTTAAAATTGTTCCTTTTTAAACCTCCCGCACCTGCATATGGTATCCCGAAATCGAAATCGAGTTGAATTTCGGCATGTGGGCGCTGGTGTAGGCAAAAATGTCGCCGATCAACCGCATCGAGGGCTCGGGCGGGTAGATGTAGGTGTTGCGGACCTAGAAACGTCAGGAAACTCACAAAACAAGCGAACAATACCATAAACTCCTTGAGGATGTCATTCTGGATAGTGCCGGAGAGCAGCTTCTTCGGCACGCCCTAGAAATTATGCCTCATCATAGTAAAAAGCATACCTGCTCTTCTCCTGCTACAATAAACATCGCCAGCACCGGGATGACGGCCCCGTTCATCGTCATCGAGACACTCATCTGAATTTGCGGTTTTTACAGCAGAAAAAATTTAGGAAAACCTTGTCAAGCGGGATCCCATCAAAGAGCTGTTTCATGTCCTCAACAGTATCCACGGCCACGCCCGCCATGCCGACATCACCAAATACACGCGGGTTGTCGGAATCATATCTGAAGACAAACGGGTAAAATAACCATATTCTATATAAATCTGAGTTCAGCTAGAAAACCGATCTAAAATTTTACAAAAGCTTGGAAAAAGTCGACATTTTGGTCACAAATCGGTCATTTTTGGTCGGAAAATGACAATGACAACAAAATGCATTTGCATAAAAATGTGTACGTTTTTGACATCTAGGAATAGCAAAAAAAGCGCCTAAAATTTCTTCAACTATTTAATTTCAAAATTGAGTCCTGCGAAAAAGTTGCACAATGCAGTCCGCCCGATAATGCGAAAGACCACGAAAACCTTTACCCTCGATGGGTGGCCAAATCGAAGGCGACGGAAAGCCCCTGCTGGCCGGCCTTGATGTTGTCCTTGTAGAATTTGTTGGATTCTGAAAATCAACATATGAATGATCACTCTCAAGCGCCAAGTGTACCTTCTACAGTCGAAAATCCGGCGTATTGTCTGATGGTCCACGGGCGCTGCGTGTACATTGTCGGGTAGGGCCCTCGGGTGAACGGAAAGGTGCCGGGAAGCTGCAAAAAAAGATTACTTTAGTTCATTTTTAGTATATAAGACCTAAATAAAGAGACAAAGCCACGTCAGTGAAAAATTCAGCGCATTTTCCTCAAAAAAATCTAACTCCATGAATTATCTAGTAACTTTCCAGTATCAAAAAAAGATAAAACTTGATTTCCAAGCCATTACGCGCGATAATTATATGCTACGGAAAAACATATACCTCATTCTCCTTTCCCTGATCGCACTTTCGGTCGGTGGCCGTGTACAACGGCTTGATCGGGATACCCTCGGGCGTGTTGTACATCAGGGTATTCGCGTCTTTCCCCTAAATCGAAACTTTATCTTATCCGCTACAAAAAAAAAGCACCTTCATCGCCTTCGAAGCGATTGCCGCCCATTTTGCGTCAATCGGAAGCCGCTCATACGAAGAGCCGCCGCGAGTGCACGCCTAAATTACCAAAAAATCAACTTCAGGGCGCTAGGCGATACCTTCAAAATCCGGTCGATCCTTCCCGATCGACGCAGCATCGCGCTCAACCGCCTAAAAATATAGTTTACCAATAACTAAGGTCTTAATACCCGAAAAACAAAGAAAAAATGCTATGCGGCTGCCAGTCAGGAGTTTGTGGCCGCGAGATAAGGGCAGCTGGAGAGATATTAGAGAAAAGGCATCGACCTTGCAATGTGCACGCAAATAGCAAAACATTGCTCCCCAAAATGGGCGATTCTGAGAAGCAACAGCCAAATCCATTCCTCCAATTCTCAGAGCTTTCACCAGCTTAACAAAAGCTTGTCACAGCGATTCAATTTTGTGAAACCGAACGGCTGAAGAGAAAAAGCACCCGGAAATCCAGAATCTCCCCGAAGCCGTCACGACCCATTGTTAGTTCAAAAGAAACGCCACTCTTTCAAAACAAAGCTGCCACCGGATTCGCCGAAAATCAATGTGCTGTCAAAGAGCCTGTACTGTCAATGAAAACTTATGAAGGCGTGGGACAATATTTATTTAAAAAAATACAAAGCAATCAATGTAGTATTCGCATGATATTTTTCAATCATTCATAATCCTGGGCGCCGGTCGTGTTGTCTCCCTCGAACTCTCCTTCGTCGTCGGCGGTGGCCTCTTGGTATTGCTGGTATTCGGAGACGAGATCGTTCATGTTCGACTCCGCCTCGGTGAACTCCATCTCGTCCATGCCCTCGCCCGTGTACCAATGAAGGAAGGCCTTGCGACGGAACATGGCTGAAAATAGTAATTTAAAAAAAGGCATAGAGTAAAATTTATACCTGTGAATTGCTCGCTGATGCGCTTGAAGAGTTCCTGGATGGCGGTCGAGTTGCCAACGAAGGTGGCGGCCATCTTCAGTCCACGTGGCGGGATGTCGCACACGGCAGTCTTGACGTTGTTGGGGATCCATTCGACAAAGTATGACGAGTTCTTGTTCTGCACAGAGTGCATCTGGTCGTCCACCTCGCGCATGCTCATCTTGCCGCGGAACATTGCGGCGACGGTCAGGTAACGCCCATGTCGCGGATCGCAGGCAGCCATCATGTTCTTAGCGTCAAACATCTAAAAAAGTAATAAAAATCTAGAATGAAGGGTTTTACCTGCTGCGTGAGCTCAGAGACAGTCATGGCCTTGTACTGCGCGGTGCCCTTGGCGGACAAAGGAGCGAAGCCAGTCATGAAGAAGTGGAGACGCGGGAACGGAACCATGTTGACGGCCAGCTTGCGGAGATCAGCGTTGAGTTGACCGGGGAAGCGCAGACAAGTAGTGACGCCCGACATCGTCAGTGAGACTAAAAACCGTCATCAGGAAAGCAATAGAAAAATTTACCCAAGTGGTTGAGATCCCCATAGGCAGGATTGGTCAGCTTCAGGGTGCGGTGGCAGATGTCGTAGAGAGCCTCGTTGTCGATGCAGAAGGTCTCGTCGGTGTTCTCGACGAGCTGGTGCACAGACAGCGTAGCGTTGTAAGGCTCAACGACGGTGTCGGAGACCTAAAGAACAATTTGAGAAAGTGTATGACACCAAACCTTGGGCGATGGCACAACCGAGAACGAGGCCATGATCCTGTCCGGGTACTCCTCACGGATCTTGGAGATGAGCAGGGTGCCCATTCCGGATCCGGTTCCTCCTCCGAGAGAGTGAGTCAGCTGGAAGCCCTGGAGACAGTCGCAGCCCTCAGCCTCCTTGCGCACAACATCGAGCACCTGGTCGACGAGTTCAGCTCCTTCGGTGTAGTGGCCCTTGGCCCAGTTGTTGCCGGCCCCGGATTGGCCGAAGACGAAGTTGTCGGGGCGGAAGAGCTGCCCGTAGGGCCCGGCGCGGACGGAATCCATCGTGCCTGGCTCGAGGTCGACCAAGACGGCGCGCGGGACATACTTGTTGCCTAAAAACCAGTAATTATCAAAAAAAGTAAGAAACAAAAGTCAAACAAAACTCCGCGCCAAAAACTAACCGTTGGCCTCGTTGTAGTAGACATCCAGGCGCTCGCGCTGCAGCTCGGACTCGCCCTGGTACTGTCCGTCGGGCTGGATGCCGTGCTCGTCCGAGATGACCTCCCAGAACTTCGTGCCGATCTGGTTACCGCATTGGCCAGCCTGGACGTGGACGATTTCGCGCATGTTGATTGAGGATTCTGAAAAAAGAAAACGATTATAGGCGAATAAGTGCGGACGAGAACGGAAATAGAAGTCAACGAGAACCAAAAGGGAGTGGTACCCCAGCTAAACACCTCATTCCCACAAACAGTAAAGCAAATAGGCAACTAACACGGACGAACCGCTGGGCTGCAATCCAACCAGACACCAAACATTTCGAAAGGGGGGCGCACAACCGGCGTGCGTAAAGAGACCGAGGCGAGCGAAAAAATGGCGGAAAGGGGAGAGCCGGCCCTCCCGCCGAAGCGGCCCCCAAGGGGCACGGAATAGCCGTCGCTACGGTAGGGGGTCGATAAATGGGAAATGGGCGAAAGTGGTGAAATTTCTGCCGGGACGGGAACGTTTTCAAAAAAGTGCGCACAAATGAACACTTGGGAAATGGTGGGCGCCCTGCTAAAAGTCTGGTTCCCGTAAACAATAATGTGAAAGGCAAGCAACACGAAGGAGGATGAGCTGAAGATGAAATAGAAGTTAATAAGGATCAAAAACGCTAATGAGCAACAGAGCGATCGGATAAACTTGCGGAATGCGCGCCAGGAACCCGTTTCAAACCCGTAACTGGGCTGCTCGTAAAAGAACCGCGAAAAATGCTGAAATCGGGAAAATCATGCTGGACTAGCGAAATTCAAAGAGCGGCCAGGGGATGAAATTCAGGGAGGCGCTAGGGGGTTACGGTGCAAGGTCCACAGGACAAAAATCGTCGGGGTTGTTAGTAAAAGTCGTACTCAGATTAAAAGTCTTACAAGAAAGTTGCAAATCTTTTAGAAAAGCAATAAAAATCAAGTTATTTGCCAAAAAAAATAACAATTATAGCTTGAAATTTTGTGAGCGTGTCTTTTTTTGGTCTATAAATGCCTCACAATTAGCTGAATTTTTGCCCATCGTGATAAGCTGACGGCGCAGCTGATTAGAGGGGGCATTCGCGTTGAAGCGCGAATTGACCCCTTGCAGGTTTTCCGGGAAGCCATTCAAAAACATTGTTGGCAGTTATTTTTCATTGTCTTTCAGCCCTTGCTAATTGTGGTGGTATAAAAGGTTAACAAAACTCACATTTTTGGCTATTTCGATCGCAAGAAGCGCACGCGCTTCCAGATTTCAAGAAAAAGCTATAAAAAATATAGTTTCTCACATTCTGTTAGAGTGTAAAATATGGAATTTTTTGAAACACGGCGGGATTTGGTGTTTGGAAAAGCTCCAGGGCCCCTATCTAACGCTGCACCGACGCAGGAACCTTAAATATTTAAGCGCAAGGCTCCGAAGCACGCCTTCTCTACCTCAGATACTTACCTAAAATTCCGTTAAATCTATTTTTTGAGGCATGGTATTTTTTGCCGATAGTCGATTAATTCATCGTCGGGCTAATAGCCTAATTTAGCCATGCGCCATTCTCCGATGTCGATGAGCAACGGGCCATCGAGCGACGATTCGTGTTATCCTGGCTGGTTTGCCAGAACATTGGGCAGCGGCTATCCGACGCGACTGCATGCTGGTCACTTTCAGCCCAGGCAGGTGCGCTCCAAAAAAGCAAAAATCGGCAAATACTTCGGTTAATTTTAAAACTCTTTTTTTTTTTTTTTTTTTTTGGATTTTTAAAATTTTTTATAATATTTTTCTCCATTTTGTAAGAAAAGGGGGCGAAGAAGAGCAGTTTTATATATATCGTAATCGTTTAGGGCGAAACAGCCGCCAAGGAATTTCGAGGCAATATTATTCACCTCGAGAAGCAGCAGAGGGCCAACGAGGAGCATGAGGTAGCTTGAAGGTATCGGATAAAGTGGTTTATCTGGCGCTCTTCCAGACCAGAAGCTCGGTCGCGCACCCGTCGTCCCTGGCTAATCAGCCTCCAGCCGTGATCGGCTACCCTCCGGTATTTTTAGAGATTTGGAAATTTTCTGATATGAAAGTAGGAAGTGTTTCTAAATGGTTTTTTGAGTCTTTTCAAAACACAAAATTTTGCAAATTTTGATTAGAAACTACGAAAAATACGATTTTTCCACCAAAACGGCCTATTTTCGACCAAAGGTTCGGATTTTAGAAAATTTTTAACGTTTTTTAAATAGTTTTTATACCTGAAAGGTAGTCAAATGCTATTAAAAACACTTAAATACTTAACATTAAATTCCTCGTCATCCCTGGGCTGAGACTCAAACTTTCTCTCGCCCCCCGATAATGCGAAAGCACAATAAAAGTTTATGACGAGTTTTATTGACGTGTTTAAAAAGGTTATGAATAAAATGAGAATTAATAAATGCATAAATAGGGTAATAGTATTAGAATTTTTGTAGCCCTTTTTTCAGAGCCATACGACGGTTGACGTCTATGATTACCCGCATCAATACGGCGATAAGAATCCAGTGTTGCACAACTGCGTGTGTTTTTACGTTATCTATAAAAGTAGATTCAGATGTTTTTCTTATTAGGAAATTTAGTAATTTTCGCATATGATTTCCTATAAACTTAAATCCGATAAATGCCGAAGTGTTTACAGAAACTTTGCAAGGAGGGCTGGAAGGAGAAGCGGATGTATTATAAGGTAAGTGCTGGATTCTAGGCGACTGGCGCCGCTTTTTTATTTTATGGAAGCATTTTGATATTTTGTCGCACCATTCTTGAATAAAATCCGGAAAAATTTTTGATTCCTATGTTTCTTCAGAACATCGAATTTTAGTCGGGCTGGACGGCCTATTTCACGTTTCTTCTCGTGTTTCCTCTACTTTCCGCCGTCGATTTTTTGGGTAGCAGCACGGATGGGTCATATCAAAGGTTGGTCAGCGATCAAATTTCGGTTCTTCTCTGTTAACGGGGGGGAGGGCAATCTAAAGCTTTAACACTTTGCTAGCCTGCCCTCTCCTCTTCCTCAACAATCTCTGCTAGCCTGCCCTCTCCTCTTCCTCAACAATCTCTGCTAGCCTGCCCTCTCCTCTTCCTCAACAATTTCTGCTAGCCTGCCCGTTTCAGCCAGCTATCCGCCGAGCGACACACCACCTGGGTGTTGGTGCTCGGTTTCTTCGGGCTGAACGTGTTCGGCACGTGCTTTGGTCTATGGGGCATCTGGCGATCGAAGAAGCTGGCCGTGCTCGTGTTGGGGCTCTTATACGTAGGTATTTTCGTCAAAAACTTAATGGAATAGCTTTTTTTAACGTAACATAATTTTTTCCAGTTCAATTGCCTGCTGTTCTTTGCCGACAACGCGGTCTCGGAGGTGACCACGAAATGGCAGGGGTCAATAGTGTCATGTTTTATCGGTGTTTTGTATGGAATAGCCGGGTGGCAGGCCAGCCGATGTGCCGATCGCATTAATGTATGTCGGGGGTGTTTTTGAAATAAATTATTTGATAAAAATGTGTGTAAGAGACATCCAGAGAGCGAGAGAGAGAGAGAGAGAGAGAGAGAGAGAGAGAGAGGACGATTGCCGACCCCGCCACGAAAAGCCCATTTTTTATCCGGCCAATCCGAGGCGCGACGTCGATAAACAAGGTTGTTTTCAGGGTTTGGCAAATAGCCAATTTCTGATGCGCCTCCGGGCGCAACGTCAGGCTTTCTGATTTCTCTCTCCCTCTCTCTCCTCTCTCTCTCTTTTCCGGATTTTTTGGGAACTATAATATTTCGATTAAAAAAAGGTAACTACCTAAAATTAACTCGAAAATTTTCTACTTGATCGAATTTTCAATGCGTAAAATTGCTAAATTAGTATTAACACTACTTGAATCTAAATTCTAAGATTAAATTCTCTAATCTAAAATTTTAATCTAAAATACTAGTTATTTTGATCCATTCATGAATTAAGCATATTTTTCGCTGGCATCAAAGTAAAGACACCCGTAAAGCTCAGACTAATCTCAGTTTTGAGGTCGCTTCGAATTTAGTAAAGTAATTTAAAAAATTACTTATTAAATAACGCTAAGTATTACCAATTTTTATTAAAGACATATTACAATTTCTAAAAAATAATAAAGACGAGTAAATCTGGGCTAGAAAAAAATAAGCAGCGGAGGAAGATTTTCGGCAAATAAATGTGTGTTTCGCACCTAAAACAGAAAAAAGGACGGTGATACCGGCTAATGTTTGCTTGTATGTACTTATGTGGAAATTAGGGATTTTACTTTAATAACCTAAATATTGTTATTATATATTGTATATTGTTATTAAGCGTATTTTTGAACGTACCCACTAAAGGGATCTCTAAGGCTCAGGCTAATTTCAGTTTTGAGGCCCTTTTAAATTGGAAGCAAAATAATTTTTGTACCTCATTTGCATAATTTGAAAGCCTCTCTATAATCTTTGATCTCTCAATTCCTTTTTATGTAGCGAGAATTGGATGAAAATTTGTTTTCAGTGGTCTCGAGGTGATTTTCGAGCCGAGAATCAGAGGTTCAGGGTGGTGTTTCATTAAAAAGAGGAGGAGTTGTGTGTTTGTGTGTTTAATTGAAAAAAAGAGAGCGAGAGAGCGAGAGGTAGAGAGAGAAAATTTGAAAGACTTTCGCCTCGCCTCCTCACCGTCATCACCGCTCGCCCAATTAATTGGATTCGTGGCCCCGGGCCGTCGGCCCGAGACCAGGAAACTTCACCCTATCGCTGGGTCCAAATAGCGAAAACCGCTTGAAATAGCCCCTCGAGATTATTTCTACGGTTTTTATCGGTTCTTCTCGCTTATCGGGGGGAGGTGGCGAAAATTCTCCGATGCAATTCTCCTCTTAAAAATTTTTCCGACGCTTTTACTCGTTGTTAGATTCTCTGCTAGCCTGCCCTCTCCTCTTCCTCAACAATCTCTGCTAGCCTCCCTCTCCTCTTCCTCAACAATCTCTGCTAGCCTGCCCTCTCTTCTTCCTCAACAATCTCTGCTAGCTTGCCCTCTCCTCTTCCTCAACAATCTCTGCTAGCCTGCCCTCTCCTCTTCCTCAACAATCTCTGCTAGCTTGCCCTCTCCTCTTCCTCAACAATCTCTGCTAGCCTGCCCTCTCTTCTTCCTCAACAATCGCTGCTAGCCTGCCCTCTCCTCTTCCTCAACAATCTCTGCTAGCTTGCCCTCTCCTCTTCCTCAACAATCTCTGCTAGCCTGCCCTCTCCTCTTCCTTAACAATCTCTGCTAGCCTGCCCTCTCCTCTTCCTCAACAATCTCTGCTAGCCTCCCTCTCCTCTTCCTCAACAATCTCTGCTAGCCTGCCCTCTCTTCTTCCTCAACAATCTCTGCTAGCTTGCCCTCTCCTCTTCCTCAACAATCTCTGCTAGCCTGCCCTCTCCTCTTCCTTAACAATCTCTGCTAGCCTGCCCTCTCCTCTTCCTCAACAATCTCTGCTAGCCTGCCCTCTCCTCTTCCTCAACAATCGCTGCTAGCCTGCCCTCTCCTCTTCCTCAACAATCTCTGCTAGCTTGCCCTCTCCTCTTCCTCAACAATCTCTGCTAGCCTGCCCTCTCCTCTTCCTCAACAATCTCTGCTAGCCTGCCCTCTCCTCTTCCTCAACAATCTCTGCTAGCCTGCCCTCTCCTCTTCCTCAACAATCTCTGCTAGCCTGCCCTCTCCTCTTCCTCAACAATCTCTGCTAGCCTGCCCTCTCCTCTTCCTCAACAATCTCTGCTAGCCTGCCCTCTCCTCTGCGCAACAATCTCTATCAGTCTGTCTTTCCGTCCCATCCAAGTTTCTCTATCTTTCCGCCTTAATCTTTATTTACGCTTCCGGCCCCAAAAATCCCATTTTCCGCATGATCCCGCAGACAAATGGTTGGGGTATGTGAAAAACAAACGATTTTAGCCTTAACCTTCTTTTGCCATTTTTTTATTCTGGTGTTTCGCAATTTCTAAACAGATTTAGCGATTTCTGAATTCCGAAAATGTGGCGACCAGCTTTTATCGGCTATATAATGCTCATATTTCTACCGTACTTCACGGTGACGTTCGTCTTTATGGATCGAATAATGCATACGGATGCGGTGTCGATACCAGTGAAGGTATATTTTTCAAACCAAAAACGCCTAGTGATTACCGGCCATTCGCTTTGCGAACATGGCATTTTTTTATGAAACACGCTTTTTGAAAAAAGTTTGTTGAGTTTCGCCAAGAATAACGAATTTTTGCTAACAAGTTATAATGACGAGGTATCATACGGTACTTTACAGGTATATCTGCTGATTTTCTACAGTGTGCTATGTGCGGTTTTTGCACTCGTACATGTCGCATTTCTGTGCCAATCGCTAGCCGGCCATATTCCGATTAGCATAAAGGTGAGATTGAGCAATCTAGCAGAGATTGTTGAGGAAGAGGAGAGGGCAGGCTAGCAGAGATTGTTGAGGAAGAGGAGAGGGCAGGCTAGCAGAGATTGTTGAGGAAGTGGAGAGGGCAGGCTAGCAGAGATTGTTGAGGAAGAGGAGAGGGCAGGCTAGCAGAGATTGTTGAGGAAGAGGAGAGGGCAGGCTAGCAGAGATTGTTGAGGAAGAGGAGAGGGCAGGCTAGCAGAGATTGTTGAGGAAGAGGAGAGGGCAGGCTAGCAGAGATTGTTGAGGAAGAGGAGAGGGCAGGCTAGCAGAGATTGTTGAGGAAGAGGAGAGGGCAGGCTAGCAGAGATCTTTTGGCAAAACCGGTCAAAACGTCTTCATTAAAGGGCCTCGACAAGACGACCACCGACTATGTGGAAATGTCCACGACGGTGGATCGGTGGGTTTTGCGAGAGAAAGAGAGAGAGAGAGAGAGAGAGAGAGAGAGAGAGGGAGGGAGGGAGAGAGAGAGATCGACAGAGCGCGAGCGAAAGATAATTTTTAGTGAAGACACACTCCTCTCCCCTTCTGCTGCCACATTCCCGATCCGGGCCGTCGTCCGGTACATCGTCATGGAGGTACAAGGCTTGCTTTTTGATGCTTTTTCATTATCGTAAATTATATAGATTCCAAAGGTCGTATTTATAGCTTCTAGAGAACTATTGAAGGAAAAATCTATAATTTTTCAGACAATTTCGACGACAATTCTCGGCGTTATCCTGTGCTTTTGGACGATAAATTTGGCCGTGCACGGCTATGCAAAGCGGCCGGGATTTTTGGCGCAAAGGAGTGAGTTTCTTCGCAGTTGCTCTCGCTTTCTAGCTCTCTCTTTCTGTCTCTCTTCCTCACTCTCTCTCGCTCTCTCTCTCTTTCTCTCTCTCTCTCTCGACTTTTTGAACGCTTTCGATCAAACATATATTCGACAGTGAAAGAGAGAGTAAGAGCCAGCGAGAGCGAGAGTTAGTGAGTGAATGAGTGGGTGAGATAGATAGATAGATAGATAGACGGATAGAGAAAGAGAGAGAGGGAGCGAGAGAGAGACAAAGTCTATATTTTCAGCCCAATACACCGTCCTCCTCATCTCGTGGGTGATTTGTTTCCTGCGAATGCCGGCCCAGGGATACCTGGTCAGAAGGTAGGCCGCTAGCGTTTAAAGGGCCATTGAAGCCAGGCAACGCTCCGCCCCTCCAAAATCCATAAAATCGGGTCCATGCTGATAGTAGTTTGAAACCAGCATCTAATTAGCTTTGAAAAATGTTAAACCTTTTTTTGCAGAAATCGCTCCCCGCTACCGAATCTCCAATCCCGCGGCTCCCAATCGACGGCGCACGATACACGAATTTCGGTGTTAATGGCCAGGGAATAAAATTATTTTCTTTATCTTCAGACTTTACCTGGTTCTTCGCATTATCGGGGCCTAGGCTCAAGCCTAAATCTTAGCCTAAGCCAAGCCGAAGCCAAGCATAAGCCAAGCCTAAGCCCAAGCCTAAGCCCATGCCCAGTCCGAAGTCTAAGCCCCAGCCTATGCCTAAGCCTGTGCCCAAGCCTGACAAGCCTGTGAGCTTAAGCCCGACCTAAGCCCAAGCCTAAGCCTAACCCAGGCATAAGCCTAAGCCCAAGCTCGACCTAAGCCTAACTAAGCCCAAGTCTAAGCCGAAGCCTAAGCCTAAGCCCAAGTGCAAACCAAAGCGAAGCCTAAGCCTAAGCCTAAGTAAGCCCATGTCTCAGCCTAAGCCTAAACCTAAGCCTGACCTAAGCCTAAGACAAATCCTAAGCCTAAACCTAAGCCTGACCTAAGCCTAAGCCTAAGTCTAAGCCTAAGCCTAAGCCTAAGCCTAAGCCTAAGCCTAAGCCTAAGCCTAAGCCTAAGCCTAAGCCTAAGCCTAAGCCTAAGCCTAAGCCTAAGCCTAAGCCTAAGCCTAATTAGGACCAAAACAAGTTAAAACAATAAAAAGCACAATTTATTGCTCGTAATAGCCGATATGCAAATGGTCGATTGGTAGATGCTCAGGCGCCCTCGGTCTGTTCGGTCTGGCCGGTCTGCTCTTTTGTCGCTTCCACCGTCGCTTGCTTGCTGGAAATAAATCGGGATTATTAAACTAAATTAAATAATCACTTAAACAAATCAAAATTCTTTAAATTAATGGAGCAAGTAGTTACGCGCGGACAAACCTTCGATTGAAGGCGCAAATTTCGATTGAATCCAAAGGTTTTTTGAAACACTTTGTCTTTCCTAGATATCCCTAGAAACTCAATAAGAACTTTTAGTTACTTTTAGTCAAAACAAGCTCTCTTTCAACTAGAAAACTATCTTAAAACTTTCAAAAACGTATTAAAAAGTCGAAATTTTGGTCAAAAACATCATTTTTCATCAAAAAATCGATCTTTCCTGTATTTTTAATTGAATTTGTAAGGGTGTTTATGTTTCGGAATAATAAAACAACTGATTAGAAACATTTTCGCGATTTACTTTAACAACTGGATTCTAAGAACATGAGAAACAAAAAAAGGCGAGGCACAAAATCGGTACTGACCTGTGCCCCGGGATCTGGCCGATGAACATGCGGGGGCTGAAAAGGAAGGAATTCAATTTAACAAAATTATAAAATAAATTATATAAATAAATATAAATATAATATATACAAATTATATATAACTAAATCTATATAAAAACTGTATTTAAAAAGTTTTTACTTTGCATTAGCTGCCACCGGCTTTTCGTTGGTTTCGGGCGCCGTCTGGTCGGTTTGGCTTTTTTCGCTGAAAAACATCTCTCTCGCTCTCTTTCTGTCTCTCTCTCTCTCTCTCTCTCTCGCTCACCCTCCCTCTCCCTCTCTCTCTCGCTCTCTCCCTCCCCTCTCTCTCCCTCTCTCTCTCTCTCCCTTTCCCTCTCTCTCTCTCGCTCTCTCTCCCCTCTCTCTCCTCTCTCGCACTCTCTCTCTCTCTCTCTCTCTCTCTCTCTCTCTCTCTTTGACCCACTCGAGCAGCTTGTTCATCGCCTCCTGGGCACCGTCGGGTTCGGGCTGGAAAATCAACGTTTGTTTAACCAGAATTAAGCTGTATATCGAATTATTATAAAAGTTGTATTATTATTAAAATTTATGACAACAAATTAAATTAAAATACCGATAATTCAACTTAC